AAGTGGATGAAGGATACAGCTACTGAGTACAATGGCGCTAGCCCCGTCAAGTAACTCGGTGCGAGCTTAGGCACTCACGAACATCCGCAACATCTCAGACTCCTCGTTCTGATCGTGTCGGAAACGCCTCGTCTCGCATATGATATAAGTCCTCAAGTGCTTTTCCCTCAATAATCTCAAGACTCAAGACTCAAGCCCCACTCTTCAACGCTATCAATCAAACTCATGAATACGCACAAGATTCAAGCAGAACCTCAAACTGCCAAGGGTCGCATATCCAACCTGCTGTGTACTTCACTGTATGGTTTCCCCGACTGCTATTCAAGAGCCATCTCGACTCTTTTTTACCCAATTACCTCCTGCTCACCCGCGCTTAATCTGTATCCACCACCAATTTTCCCTCCGTATGATCTTTTCTGTTCCTTCCGCCCCCCTGCGGCACTTCAAGATGGTCGCACCAGATTTCTTGCCCAATTACATTCACACGTCTTCTGCAAGGTCCCGTGCAAGGCGCGTTGATAAGCGCACCCGATTCGTTCAACGGTGCACCATTCCGTCGCGCCGTTTGCCGCTTCTGGTCTATGATACTTAGTGTACATACCTATTACATCTAATCCAATGTCTTTCTTCCCATATCCACTTCGTCTGAATTAGTTCTGATATATGAATTTTATGCCAAATATAGTAGATAGTTATGTGGACTGGAAACACGACTGGATCCTCGCTGAGTTGCCAGCTGGCCGCCACATCCGGACTGGGTCCAGTGTGGATCTATTCGGATTAAAGCTGGTGGCCAGCATTTAAAATGCTGGTCCCAGCTGAAAACCGGATGTGGCCAGGAAAGCGTGTCCAGCTGTTGGACACATGTCTGACCGTTGGCGGTGTAGCTGGGTGATATCCCTGTGGCCACAGGTTCTAATTGGATTTGCCTGCATCGCTTTGCAAGCCATTTTGTACGACAACGCGATCTCGCCCTTCATCACCAGCCTCGTCGTCGGATGGCAAGTGGGCCTAACAACAGGCATCCTCCTCGCCAGCCTGAACAGCTTTCTCAACCTTGTCGAGGCCGTCTCCCCCACGACTCTATTTCAGGCAGTGATCCGCGAAGCCGTGCTCCAGTACCGCAGCATGTTTCGGTACTTCGGGGTCTACTTCGTCGTCTGCACCTGGAGGTATGGGCAGGTCGGGTGGTGGGATGCATGTACATCTCGGACAACGCTCGGATGGATCCTTTCACATGAGTTGTTCGCCCGGGTCGGCCCGGCAAAGGTGGCACTCATCTTTCTGGCCTCGATCTTTCTTGCACACTATCTGGGTGAGAGTTATCAAGTAGACATCGGGTAAGTCAAGCCCGTGCGCAACTAGGTGTTGTCTGACGTAGGTTCAGAAAAATCGTTCACTCCGTGCAAGTCGAATATTGTAGATTGTTGAACCAACCAGGCTGACCCTCGCTTATGTTGTCCTTTCTAAGCCTCTCATTCCAATTACATACAATCCATCTGCCATTTACCTCTCTGTTCGTTCTCTGGCTGCACATACGGTACCTATCCTTCCCATTCCTTTCCTGCGTTCTTCAAAAGCCTTAATCGTCTCCCCTGTTGATTTTTTTTCTTCCCATCGAAGTGTCCAATTCATGTATTTACCTGTATTTCACTTCCAGCTGCCAGTTTGTTTGCTCATTTATATGGCATGAATTCGTTTCATGTTGAGGGCCAGTCGCGGGCAACCTAGTGCCACTGATCCTCGCGGGAGCTCGGTGCCTGTGGACACGACTCAGGAAACCAATCTGCTTGATTTATTAAAATATTCGGATGTTCTTGGGACGGGTTTGTGGGTCGTCAGTAAGGAGGTTCAACCCCAAGGGCAAGATAACATGGGGCGAGCCTTGGGACGTGTGGTAAATGATTCAACATTGCACGTCACGGTGTCCGTACATGCGGGGCAAGTAATTTACGATCGCACGTTCAAATTGCAACGCAGGGCCGAGTTCTGAGTTGAACCCGGGGACAAAAAGTGATCTCTGTCCGGGTCCCTGCTAGTTGTTCATCCTATTTATTTTCTTTGGAAAAATGTATTCTGGGAATCCGGAAATGTTGTGATTGTCATTGCACAAAGTGGACGGGAAACAAAATGGTTTGATTACATTCATCTTATAGTGATTTTCTCAAAGAAATTCCAAAGCTTCGTTGCAAATATAGCATACCAGTGAGCCGAATTGGAGCCGACTACATGGCAGGTGTAATTTATCATACAGTTGCCGTGATTAATCATTACGTGGCATTACACGTCTTTCGTCTCAACCGCAACGAGCACCATACCCAGAGGCACTCCAGGCGGTATCTTGAAACTTGTCTTCGTCATAAACACCCAGGAACGCCGAAGATATACGTATCTCATGGAACAAATTGCGGAACAGCTCAGGGCAGCTGGCGAGATACCACTACCACAAAGCCAGGAGCCGTTCATGGCCGCTAGAGAATTAGAAGAATTAGCCGCCGCGACACAAGCACACCCCATGCTTGCACAGTTCTGGAACTTCACGAACATCTGCCTGGGCCTGGTGCCCTATCCGGTGATGGATTTGTCCACCACAAAGGAAGAGATAGGAAACCTCACTTCCGAAGCAACCATCGTGAGTAAAGTCGTCGGAGCCGCGAGGCATTACCGAATCTTTTAGGCGACTTTCCTTGCTGCAGTCCAAGCCCAGATTGTGGCCATCTCATACCAAGACAACTCGGCAGGCGTCAAAGTCGCTACCAACGTGCTAGGCTTTGCCGGCATGCTCTTGGATGTGAGCGCAGCATGCTTCGCCATGCTGGCATCGACCCTTCTCCAGCGGCATATGACGCTCATTGAGAGGGAGCTGAATGTCATTGAAAATGCATCTCTGCAAGAGCTTATGGAGGCGATTCGTGTCCTCCATGCCAACCCTCGCCGGCTTGTGTCGGTTGAGATTCAGAGACGGATAGTCGCAACAGCGATAAAACATTTGCGTGACTTCGCGAAGGCCCTCACGGAGAACGCAGACGCTAATGTACCATCCCAGAAACTCGGAAAGAGTCCGAAGTTGAATATCGGTTCCCTCACAACGTCGTTTGCAAAGGTTCAAAATGTGACCTTCATTGGCGATGTTTCTGGAAATACCCTGCTGTTGGGCATCCTTTCCTTCCTTGCATCGGTGCAATGTCTGGCCATTTCGACGCAACCCCGGGCAGTCTGGATCATAACCGCGGTTATTTGCTTCGCCGTCGTGGCACTCTACCCGATCAGTCAATTCTCGGGGAGGATCAGGGATAGGTGGGCTTGGTCCTTCGGGACTTCGTAACGCGCTGCGCAGATTCTTTTGATTTTTTTTTTCACTGGCAGCGAAGTGGGATTGAGGAAATACGGATGCTTGCGTGTGAAGAGCAGGAGAATGTGGAAGGAAGTGCTTCTCCAGACAAGGTCTCCGTTGTAACAAAAAGTATCTTTGTGGTTTGATCGAGTTTTGGATATGCATATGTGGGTGTCAAGTAGAAGAGCGAGAACGACAGGAGGAAAATACAAGAAGCGAGAAAGAGAGAGACAGATCAGGAGCATGAGAGGGAGGGGAGACCTGTGGTGATCAACCTCCGTCCGCGTCATTTTTCCGTACGTAGCCACACCTGAACGCAATTCACTGCGCCATCACTTCGATCGCGCTTGGCGGAACTAAAAGCGATACAGTTTCGAGGCACATTTGTTGAACCGTGGGAATGTCGTCTCCTGTCGATCGGTGAACCTGGGGCCGATCGTGCTGAAAAGAACGATCAGGTTGAGGAAGGAGATGGCCAGGTTGAGATGGCAGGTATCATGAAAATCACATCGGCCGTGAAGGATATTAACAGGGGATGAGGGGACGCGAATTTATACATACATGATCAGCCTCCGTGCGGAGCTACATTGAACCAGGGATTGCCGCATCGCAACCAGTGTCGCTCGAGTTTATGTTGATTGGACGCAGTTGAGAACGCAATGCAATGTCTTTCTATAAAATCAACCTTCAGCTCTACGCACGGAGAACTGGATATTTGGTTGGGGTCAACAAGCGATATTGATACCCAATCGCCATATTCAAGGTGAATCTCTTCCTGTCTGTACCCATATAATACTTCGCCTGTTGATACCCATGGAGCGCAACAACCCCCAAATTGTGGTATGGGACTTTGAAATTGAAGTCTATCAAAACAAAATATCAATTGATTCGAAAGATGTGAGGTTGATTAAAAACATCCATTGGCGCAGTTGAACCCCTCCCCTTTCTTTCATTGATATAATAGATTAGATGACATGTTCTAACTCCAGGGCAGCGGAGCGCGTTTCCAGGGCGCAGCGGAGGCTGATCAGCATGATTACTTTTGTAGGTCGATCGCGACTATTGGACTTGGGCATATTACATACCGTAGCTGTCAAACGGACAATATAGAGGTGCGCAGAAGTGGAGGCTGAATCAAGAGTTGAACTATATATACAGCCAGGAAGCGGAAAGTTGACCAAAGCAATACCACCAGGTCAGAGGTCTGGGCTAACCTTGGTTCACTTTGCAATTTGGACGTGGTGAATTTTTTCCGCATATTTGTTGGCTGGTCAAAAGGAGTTTCCAGAATGTTCAACTTGCTAGTGACATCGATGCACAGAACAAACCCCGATCAAGGTGAGGCACCCCACAAGATTTACATCGCTACACTGTGCAACTTTGCTCGCCACATAGTATGCGTGATTTCTAAATACCAGAGACTTAACTTGTCTTCTGCAAGTTGTCTGTACATATTTCGAATGCCGGGAAATGTACCCCATTTTGAACGCAGGAAAAGTTGCGAGGGAGTGGGGAATTGAAATATTCCTGAACAATGTACATAGCCTCGGCAGCAAGGTAGAAGCAAAGTGAAGGAGAACTAAGGGGAAATAAATATGTACGAGCATAAACAAAAAGGTGGAGAAATCTATGTGTGCAAAGACACCTGAGGCACGGACGAAAAAGTTGCCCGCTAGCCGGATTGAACGACTGACCTCTTCATCGCGTTAAACATACGAGTGAAGCGCTACTACCACTGAGCTAAGAGGGCGATGGAGATGGCTTACTATCGACCGTCGTGTCGGGGCGGCTGGGTATTTATCCTGCGATCAAAATACTAGAGATCCGTACCAAAAAAAAATTGATCCAGTCCTAACTCAACATAACTCATTGCACTCTGAGTGCCACTCGGCCATATTGCCACGAAGCAGCTCTATCTCCTCGATTTTTTTTCGAGCTAGATTCGACCCAAGTTGAGCTTGGAAATAAATTTAACTCTTTTGAAGATCACTGGTCTTTTGAATAACACCTCAGGCAATGGTATTCTTCTGTCTTCACGAAACACTGTTCCTCAAGTGGAAAAAGTTAAGTTTTCAACCACTCTTCAGCCAGTACACCTTTATGTCAATGCATTCTCGACGTAAATGTCAATGTTGAATGTACCGATCAACCCGAGGACATTGAAACCACTCCCTCACTGTATTTTCAACACAGGGAAGTCCGAGCTCACTCTGTCCAATTATGTAATGCTCACCTCGACTCGTTTGATGTAACTCATCTGCGTTCAACTCTTATTTTATTCGGTTGCAAGCCTCGGGTCGACCGTCCGGTTAAAATCTTCAATTGATCGGGGCCAGGCGAGAAGTCAAGTGTGGTGTGTTATCCAACCTCGCGGCATCTTGCATTTCGACTCCGCCCTACTAGTTGGGTTATTTCGACTAGCATGCATTGATCTTGAGTCTTGATTCGCATTCTGTCTGGGGGGGGGGGGGGCGAATGGGAGGATTGGAGGAGGGGGGCGAATGGGAGGATTGGAGGATTGGAACGATTGAGAGGATTGGAACGATTGAGAGGATTGGAGGGATTCGCGGAGGATGTCTTCAGTTCACCGCGACGTGTGTGATTCGTGAGTAAAATCAAAGTGCGAGTGCGCCTAGTTGTGCGGTGAGCGGCATCGGCGACATCGTGAATTAAATGTTAAATTTGAGGGTTTGGTGCGCTACTTACCGTAACGCTGCGGTGCTTTGAACACGACGTCGGCATTGAATACTTATAAGTCAACTCAAGACTCGACCCCGTCGAATTTCTGTGCCCAAGGCGAAACGCCCATTTCCATGTATGTATGTGATTCAAGTTTCAACTTCACGCCACGATCCCATATATATGGAACAACAATTTGCAATTGGCCCACAGCCAGCTCCGCGTGCCGAACAGATAGATGATCTCCTTCGCAGACGGCATTGAGATTCATTAGAGAAATCATCGAGGAATCCTCGAACCCATATATATTATATATGCAGATCGATCTGTTCAAGAAGAAAAATAAATAGTCGCCGAATCGATCGGGTGGGTCCTGGATAATCAATCCTTTGGCCCCTCGAAGAAATATCCCGTGAATCCATCGACCCACTTATTAATTCCAAATGAGCGCAGTGCGGGCATCTTGGGTTGAAAGGCATCGACGCTCCAGTTGAACTTATCGGATGGAGCGAAATTTCATCTTGGTATATATTTCGAAAAACATACGTACGTAGCGGGAGTTGAGTTCGAATTTCTCTTATATGTAGGTATATCTTGTCAGAGTACGTGAGAATCTCGTCAGAGTACGTGCGATCAATTGGGTCCTGATCTACAACACTGTCCCGGTATTGAATCATCATTGATTATTCGCCATTGCCCGGAGCGCCTATGTAGAAATTAGAATCAATGTTTGGCACGGGAAGATGCAGAAACAAATCAACGTTTAAATTTGGCATGGGAGGAAATTCCATTCACAATTATGTGAGCGCGTAAAGATGCAGGCATACAGTAAGTAAGTCGTCGGTCGAGAATTAAAATCGCGAGTGCATGTTGGGCTACACCTATCGACTGCGTTGATGTGTCCCATCCGCGGGCGGCGATGGGAGAAACGATGATCAGATAAAGAGTTGCCAGTGGGTACCGTATGCCATATTTGTTGTTCTAGCACCAATCACTGGCAGCGCATTTGGTGTTCAACCACCAGTCGTTCGTTCACCCACGCATTCGTTGTTGATGTTGAACCAACCAACGATCGTTTCAAAGAAAGCCCGCAATTGATTAGATTAGAGTCCAATCAATCAATCCTCCGTCTCCGGGGGAGGGAGACGCGCAGTGCAGCACGGCGAGTATGTACTGGTTCGAAAAAATAGAATACCACTAACGTGCTGAGTACAATTCTAAAATTTGCATCGTATCCCCCTGAACTGAAATAAAAATGCGAGTGCGCCGGATTTTCTGAAATAAAAATGCGAGTGCGCCGGGTTGAGTTGAGGTTGGGTCGAGCAACTTTGACGAGAAGCGGCCACCGAGGGGGGTTTAAAACGTACTGTAAATAAATAAAACGGTGCTGATGCCATGTGGCGCCCCCGCTAAGACGACTCAAAAAATGAAATTTCAACGAGCTCGAGATGAGCGGTGGATAACTGGATTGATTTAAATTGCCAATTGCCGACCTAGATTCGGATTCGTCCCTTGTGGCCATGGGGTGGTAAGAGTTGTTTTACAACGTGCGTTCAACGTGGAGGGACAAAAGGGAAGCGAAAACTGGCGATCTTGAGGCCCTGGGGTCTGAGCGCAAGAATTTGAAACAGAAAGTTGTAAGCAAGTTGTAAGTAGGAAATCGGTTGATTGGTTGGTTTGACCGAAGTCAGTTTGTTTGACTGAAGTTATCTCGAATTGAATGCATTCGACCGAAGGTATCTGAATGTATTCGACCGAAGCCGTACTCGTCGGTTGAACTCGTTCGATTGGATCCATCGCTACGGTGATTACTGTTTGTATACTACTACTACTACAGTATAGATGGCTGTCGTCTAAGATGAGCGTAGCAACCATTGCCAACATAGGAGGATCGATATCTGCTGCAGCGGGCCCGGGCTTGGACAGGAGAACGGGAAGCAATGACAGGAGAACGGAATGCAATGTATCAGGAGAACGGAATGCAATGCAATGCAATGCGTCGGGCTTGGAAGCCGCAAGCGGGTTCAGTATATATATTTTCTACGATGCATATGAGGGGCGGCGACTCGGAACGCGGAGCGGGTGGGTATCGATGTTCGAGTGCCAAGGGCCATCGAGGAAATTCAATGGGCAAGGAAATTCGATGGGCAAGTTTAAATTTCCAGTCCCAGTTCAAGTTGACGATGTGGATTATCCATCCAGGAATAATTGGATTTCATTCTGGTGACGACGAGAATCAACTTTTGCAAGCGTGATTAGATGATAGAGAGATCTTAGGTCTAGAGCATGAGGGGTGCAACACAACGCAACTAGGTCAACTTAAGAAGATGTGGGAAAGCTACTTGAGAAGACAGGACGAGATAGATTGAGGTGGAGACGAACATACCAATTGAGGTGGAGACGAACATACCGAGACGTCTAGGCGCGCTAGGAAGTAGGTAAGCAGGAAGTAGTAATGACACCAGAACAGCGCGCGCTGAGTATATTAGGACGGAAGGAAGCTCAGTTGAAGTGGGAAGTAGAGGACATAGCGGGAAAGGGAGCAAGACGAGAGCGGAAACCCGAAATAAGAGAACGACAGCGGAAACCCGAAATAAGAGAACGACAGCGGTAACCCAACAAAAGAGAACGAGTACATAAACATGAAATAAGAGAACGACAGCGACAAGTACGAGCTTCTTTGGACTTTTCGTTGGGTTGGGGCGCGCTGTTGGGAGGGTTGGGCATGGAAAGACGAGACAAGAGTTGAGCGCCCCTATGGGAAAGAAGAGGCAAGGCAAGGCAGGCCTGGAAGAAGAACGAGGTTGTCAGTCAGCCAGTCAGACAGACAGATGTGGGAGATTAATATTGCGGTATCGATACATGTATCGGTGAGGGAAGGAAGGAAGGGACCCCAAAGCAGCAGCTTTCGAGTTTTTTTATGGATAACCAGGCCGGCGTTTTCGTTGGGGGTGTTCTTCGTTGGGGAGGACAAGGGTTCAGGCTAGATTTTCAGAGAAGCGTCACGCTGTGTGATTGCGATCTCAGAGAAGGGCGCGAACCTTATCCTTATCCTTATCCTGTGCCGAGTTATTTATCGGGGCTTTGGTTTATTTCGGTTTGCGGAGTGATGCGAAAAAAATAACTCCACCGCGCGAAAGATTGACTCCACCTACCTACGCATGTACCTACCTATCACCAGCGCAAATACATAAATTGATAAATTTGAACAGTCAGAGTACAGAATCATTGCGATTCGGGGCTTCATTCTACCGCGCGGACGCCCGCTGATCGCGCTACGAGCGGCATAAATAAAATATCATTTGATCGCTGCGAACGGTGGGTGATGCGGGATAAATACGCCGCGATCGCGCTGAGGAAGTGAGAAGGAAGGGGTAAATAACCCTTGATGGCGAGTAAACACGCGCTAAGGGCAAGGCTATGGGGTTTCCCTTCCCTTCCCTTCCCTTCCTTCGGTTTTCTTCCCATCAGAACCCCCGGCGTTCGTTCCATCAGAATCCCCGGCGAGGATGGGCATGGCACTTCTGATTCTGATTCTGATGCACGCGGCGTGCTCCGATGGATCTTACATACGTCTTACGTGCTGCCCGCCCGATTGGGGTGGCAGCTCGCATCAGCTTCCCATCAGCTCGCATCTCGATCAGACGAACGAACGGGCGAACCGACCTGAGTTAGAAAAAAAAAGATGCGCGTCTGTAACGCCCCGTCACATCTCACATCTGCGTCCCAAAAAAATAGACACCGCCACGCCGAATCGGTACTGGGGTGATGTGCTTTGATGCAAGGGGGGGTGATGGAAGGGGCTGGAAGGGTGATGGAACTGGAAGGGAGAGCAAAGGACAGATGGGGCAGCAGCACAATGCCAAAGCGAGGAAATACAAACTGCGTCCCCTCATATAATATCATCATCACATTCGGTATGCGACGCACGCAAAACGGAAGCGGACTTGGATCTCGTACTGTTTCTTTTCCGTTTACTCGACGGAGACAGAGACATCGACGACTCGGAGGCAGAGACATACACGCAGGACGATATACACGGCGGACGATACACGACAAAGGCTAGGCATT